TTTTAGAAAATTTAAGCAGTTATTATTATGTAAAGTTGCAGGATATAACCGTTCGGATACTTATGACCGCTACTGTAAATAAACAATAGAAATGACTGCATGCGTTATACGTAATCACGATGGGCTAATTCTTGGTGGTATACAAACTACTGAGCAGAGCACAAGATACTACCTAATTCTTCATTATCCTAATATGTTTACAAATACAGTCGCACTCCCTTATAGTCACCATTGGGACCATAGGAATTTTTGACAAAATGATGACTATGAAGAGCAGATTGTTATGTTTATTAAGAGGTTGGGACCTCCAAGAGGTGTGACTATACAGAGAATTTACATAGTGTGCGAAGGTGACTATAAGGGAGTACGACTGTATTGAAAAGCCGAACATTGCAACGTATTTCAATCCACTTTTTCTTACGTAATCTGTCGACGATTAGCGATAACTTGTGGTGTATTGTTTAATATACTGTATATGATTTTATGTTGAGTAAAGAGACATATATGTAACTGTTATGATTTTTTATTTGTGCTTATATATTTTCGTGGACAACACGTCTTAATAAACAACTAATATTACTCTGTGGATTAATATATATATATATATTTATTTATTTATTATTATTATTATTATTATTTTTTATTTTTTACAGAAAACGCATTATTTAATGGATGTTGTAGTACCAAGCCAGATTTATCTGGCGGTGCATTTATTTTAATACATTTCACGCATCTATGCATTTTATAGATCGAATCGCTTGACGGTTGGATTTACAATTTGTCACTTATTATTGTCTTGGCTTAGCAATAATATAAATTTTCATTGTTTATCTTATTGAAACTATTAATTGTGTCTCCTCCGTATGGAGTTCCTGGTTCCAGCAAGAAGTAAACGAGTTAGAAAATCAATTAATTTTTAAAAAGAGAAGAGAGTATTTTCGCTAAAATAACTATATTAATATTATGGTCAATGCCCAAGAATGATTAGATCAGAACTATCCACGAGCAATCAGAGAAACCATTTCCACCATAATAATTGGTAGAAAGAATGAAAATCTTGAAGGAGAATTAAAATTAGAAGGTTTTACTAATTTGACAGATTTTGAGTGTGATGGTAACAATAATCTCACTAATTTAGACCTAAGACAATGTTATAATTTAGAAAATGCCTGATGTGCCGGGTAGTAATCTTACTAGTATTGAATTTCTCAGCCATCTTCCTCACCCTGAAAAGTTAAGAATTATTTTCATGATTGATAACAACTTCTTGGCTACTGACATCGATTTTTTTCCTCGTTTTGTCAATCGCAAACTTAGTTCAAATTCTTCTTTAATTTGCCCCCGAGATTTCAATATTTATGCTGGTTACTAGTCATAACTCGAAAATCACGTAAAATTGTTTGACTATTTAATAGATCAATGAAATTATGATTTAACAGCCCATTTTGCGGCTCTACCCTTTAATTCCTTGTCATATGCATACATGATCTACGGGGCAAACCTGCAAAAGTGGCTGTAGACCAACGAGAACTTGCAGAAAGCTGTTTCTGCAAATCAACGTACAGGGTGTCACTAACCAAAATTACAAAATCAGCCATAGATTCGTGAAAAGTGCACCGAAAGATATGTCATTTAAAAGATAAAACAATAAAATTTTATTGACAATAATTTAATTTAATACGGAATTGTCCTCCATTTTTCTCGATAACTTATTTACAACATTGGCGCATTGATTTGACAAGATTCCCTGCAAGATCTTCTCACCAAAAATCTCCAACAGTTGTCGGTGTTTCATTATTCTTCATAGTACACTAAGGATTTTCAATCGGGTTAAGGTCGGGGCTATTAGCCGGCCAATCCATAACCGACGGCACATTTTTCTCAAAAAATTGCTTGGCAAGACGACTAGTGCGGATCGTTATCTTGTTGAAGCCTCCAACCACCTTTGTCTAGTATTTCAATTTCTGGAAGCCAAACTCTGAAGAATTTTACAATAAAATTGTACATCCATAAAAAAAAGGCAAGTTTTCCCACGGGAACAAACCTCACCCAACAACTGGCTTTTATGGCAATCTGGAAGAGTAGTTTTATCTAAATAACGTTTTGGTGCCAGTTCTCATTCGTGTCCATTGTATTCGTCTTTCTCCGTGAACATGAGTGTGACAGTTGAGCGACTTCTTTGATATCCAATGTTGGTTTAGAATAGCTGTTCGAGATATACAACGATGTCTTTCTTAGACAATTTTACGTCAAAGTTCTCATCGAGATTTCGCCAATATACGTTCTATCCCTTAATTTGTGTAAATTTGACCCTTAAACTTGTGACGCATTTTTGAGAATATTATTACTTTGCTATTTACAGCTTAACCATTAAATAAAACATTTTATCTTATTCTGGAAATTTAAATGAGCCAAAATACATAGTTAAAGAGTGTGCTGTTGAAGAATAATTTGCATTTTAAAAAATTATTTTTAAAATTTTTGCGAATGGTACCAAGCATTACTATGGTACCATATTATATCCTCAATAAAGCAGAATATTGTTAAATTAAATATTTTTTTCTTTGCTTTATTGTAAATCTAAAGAGTTAAAGATCTCAGTCAACAGATGAACCATTGAAGAGTAATGCCATTTGAATACTGGCACTTACATCCTTAAACTCGTACTTCCTCTCCCACTTCCTTTTACATTGCTGCTACTGTTTTGTCCCTTTTACTTCTTGCTCTGGTTCATATTCATGTTCTGCAAATATCCTCCTCACTGAGAGCGTTTCTTCATGATGCCCGATTCTCTAAAGTAACTAATGGGTTTATAACGTTTATTATTATTAGCGATTGGATCGGTAAAATATACGTACTTAGTATTAGGGAGGATCGACAAGCGATCTATAGACTATTGACTAAACGTGGCTCGATATGGGATCGTAAAAACATGCTTTGAGTTACTGAATACGTTAGGGTGGTTCGTTCTATTGGTGCGGGGATGCAAATGCAAACACATATCATTGTGAAAATATGGTTTGAGTGACTAAATACGTTAGTGATGGTTCTTCCATTGGTGTGCAATTATTATAAGTAAACATGTCATTGTGAAAATATGCTTTGATACTAAATACGTTATTGTATATTGTCAATTTGACAATTAATTACAATTTTGAGCTAATCAAACAACTTAATGTGTGGTTTTGTCGAATGATTATGATCGGGCATACGGCATACGATTGGTGTTTATGATTAGTCAATACTATACATCGAATGTTGAATTATTATAGTCTAATCATACAATTATAAATCTTTCTTCGACAACTTTGGCTGGCTTAGATTATGCAGGTTTGCTGTAAGCATTAGTCGATCCGATGTGTGATAGATACGATACTTCTTATGATAACAATGTTCATTGATCTTACCCAGGTCAAAGAACAAGAGTCCAAACGGTCCTAGTTCAAAACTACAGATTTAAGGTTAAAGAAGACTTTATTGAAATAGAGGAAGTATATTTTGATAGAGAAAGTATATTTTGAAACAAACTTGTGACCGATAGCCTTTTAGCAGGAATGTAATAAATGCAGTGCCACGATCTACATATTAATGTAGATTTACATACGACATTTATATTTATTTGGGCATTGTACATGTTTATATTTCAATAGTGTTGTTTTTTTAATATATACACGAAAACACACAGAAACTATCGTAACTCGAACAAGGATTCATTCTTGGACGGAACGGAACACTAGTTTTCATAATTATACTCTCATCTCGCTAATAGTATGTATGAGAAACGCAATTTGAAATAGCTAATATTACAATACTGTAGCAACATAGTTTTAATATAAATCATTATGAATAGGTATTTTGTGTGCGCCAAAAAAGTCAGCAACATTTAGCTTCAAACCCCTTCTCACAAAAGGGTAAGTATTTCTTAAAATGTGTAACAGGGTAAGTAGCAGAAACCGGCACATGTACCACAATCAAATCTTATTATGTGCAACACTAAATGAGCATTTTTTAAGAGACAGAAGTAGGCAAAGCGACCCGAAGAAAAAGCTGCTTCAGGATCGCCGTAGAATTGTACTGATTTTCGTTATTGTCAGGAACATGTATTAAATTATTAAGCATCTATTCTTCTCATCCGAATTCAGCTACTACTTCAATGTCCCCTGCATTACAACGACAGGAGCACAGGCTAGCGGTCTCCAGTAATGCAATAATCTACCGCTCGGATTTAATTTTTCGTATCCCTCATATGCAACTACAACCGTTGGTACAGTATCTCCCATATACCATGAAAATTCTGTTGTTTCAAATACACAGGTCCCATCGTTATTTCGCAAGTCTTTGGGCATAAGCCCATCGGTTATATCCACGGTGTAAAGTTTGTTTTTTGTTGGATGTTGGCAAGTTGAGTAATAGTGTGCCTCAAAGTTATATTCAACCAATTCGCTGAGAGGATGAAAGTATCTTCCCCAAATTTGCGTGCCAGAATCGAAAAGATTGTCATAAAGACTGAATGTGCCATTAATCCGTTCAGAGTGAAACGTAACTGTGGCTGAAACAGGTGTTAGACGAAAGTCTCTTGTCTTCCGACATTTTATTTCTAGTGGTAGTGGACATGAGTGCGAGTTGGAGAATAGTGATGATATTATTGAAAAGAACAGTAGGGATGAAATAATCGTGATATTTGACGCCGAGTTGAACATTATTTACAGATTTCAAGTTTCTAAGAATTGTCCCTAACTGTCTTTATATATGCGCAAGATGCTAAACCCGATAAAGCAAGTGGCGGTGAGGATGACGAATAGTATGCATCACCACCAATAGTTACACTATTGGGGCCCACAAATCGCTTAGCAAATATTAATAATAACAAATATAGCTCTAACCGACTAAAATGTAGTTAGATGATCACCCGAGATCTGGTGATCGCCATCAAGTGGATCTTGTGAGGAATTTACGCCCCCCAACATAATAATCGAGATATTATCAGACAGTGTTACCCATCCGACACATTACACACACAGGGTGAAATTTCAGTGAAAAAGGAAATATTTTGCCGTGTAACGATGGATCGACATGTATTACATATCCAGCGAAAGCATAACTTTCCTAGATGGCCCTTTAGCAAAAGCATCAAAAGCATCGTAAATTTGTATTTTATATGTGAACTAGTTAACAATAGTTCCTTTTCTTTGCAAACGTGGCGATTGCACTATCAATAGAATGTATTACGGGTTATAAGTTCAGTTGAAATTGCCAAGCCTTCGCTCATTGAAGTTATGCCATGCATGTATTGTCTGTGAATGCCTTAAAATAACCAAAGCAGGTTTTTTTTTTCTGCAATCAGGTTTTCCTGTTTCTCCATTCATATGTGCGAGTGTGTGTGTGTGAACCTTGCAAAAAAGTGTGAATTTTTATTGGTATTATTAGCTCGACGGCGTAAGTGTGGTGTGACCAAACTCTGGTGTGACCAAGCTCTAGTTGGCACTCTCAATAACGTATATTTGTGGGCTGTAATAAAAAAAAATGCTCAGGGTGGAATACGCATTATTGAATTCATATGGATATACGATGTATAAGCCAAAGTATCGCACGTGTTGTAAATAATCCTTTTACAATCGATATAAAAAATTACAGAACATTAACGTTAATATTAATATTAAGATTCCTTGTTAATCTATTTGGTCACAAAAAATTTTTTGTTGTACCGAGAAACAAAGGTGGAACGGACCGCGATTATAAACGATTACAAGCGATTCCATAGACAAATATACATATTATTATGACTAACTTAGTAACAGCCGGTCTCTTAATCAAAGAATCTTAGGGAAGACGTACGTTGGCGAATAGTGTATCTGTTGTGTCCGAGTTTGGGACCTGTCTCAGTTCTCAGTTCGTTTCGGAACCCAGTCACTCAGTCTAGAACTCAGTTGTCTCAGCCCAGAACTGAGACAGATCCCCAACTGAGGTATAACATATCTTCACCACGACGGTTACTCGAATAAAAAGATAAGAGAGCTTTTAATCGTTTCTCATTCTAGTGTTGGCAGAGATTTGAGATTTTTGATGTTGATGATGACTTGGAGGTAATGGCGTTGTTTTTAATTGACTATATGGAAGAGAATGTGTGCGTCTGTGGGAAGAGTATCGGATAAGATTGTTCTTCTGACTTCATGTACAAGTCGTCGGTGGAATTCCCTAAACTCCATATTGCTGAGAGTAAGATGTGGATGAATCTGTATCGCTCCCGCAATACAAATAGATCTTACAGATGTAACAAGTTCCACCTTCGTAATACATAATGGCTTATTGCGTTTGTGGGATATTGAGAGGTGAGAAGTTTGGTTTTCTTTCTTGAGTGAGAAAGTATGATGTCTGAGATTGGATTTTTTTTAAAAACCGTAGTATGCTGATGTTGCTATTTCGATATTATAATAATCGATTGATATATTATGATTTTCGTTTTTCGCTTCGAGACAAAATATTTGGTTTTCGTTAGAATATCGGAGAGAATATTCAATGTTAACACATAGACCACCACGGACGCAAGGTAGTTACTTTACTGAACATGAGAGTTATTATAGTTAGTATCTCCCCATTTATCGTTAAATATTAAGAAAGCATGCTACAACCTCAATTTATGCGGTTGAATAGTTAATGCCGTAGTAATTTTATTATCTGAAGTTATACAGTGAACTCTCTATTCAAGCACGCTCTCGGGAATGGTGCTTAAATAGTTGAGCACTTTAATTGCACGATGCTATTGCATACAGTGTAACGTAAAAGAGCGGATTCTAGATCACGTGCTTTTGGCATGACCATCAATAAGGCACAAGGTCAAACTTTAAATTACGTAGGATTTTATTTGCCGACTCCGGTATTGCTTGCTTTAGGACTACGTTAGACAAAGCCTTAAGATTGGCCGGCATGAACATTGTATATTCAAGTCAGAAGATTATTTTGTCAATAAGGGGGGGGACCTATGCTAAAATATTAGTAGAGTATTGGAGCCATAGAGCGTGATAGAGACACGATGCAAATTCAATCGGAGCGTTACAATGGAAAGAGAAATATTAATGTTGGGGCTGAAACTAACCTTCATTAACGAGATAATATCTACGATATAAAATATAACGGGTATTAGGTATTTTATATACGGGCGGCATTTCGTCCGCTACGTTTTACCAAAACATCTGTTGAACCTGACCTTCGGTAATATATTATTCGCCTTCGTCTGTATGATGAAACAGCGATGTTGTTAATTCCCTAGATATATTCGAGACACGGTCCCAATGTAAGTCTGCGAACAAGTGTACTATGAAACACGAATCATGAAAGATAATAGTCAACGTAAAATCATTCGTCTAGCAAAAAAATTATTCCCCAAAGAAATAATTAGTTATATATCTGATCTTAGAGATAGAATTATAAATATACTTAAGTAGTATAATAAAGTTGGCTAAGTTGGTGACCTCATCACTAAACATGACACTAGAGGGCTCTATTGTCGCGGTGAGGGAGCGTAGCCGCCTCGCGAAGAAAATCGCTGACACTTTTGAAATAAAGAAAAATAAACAAAAATACGCTATTGTTATAAGACTACAGTTTAATGAAGTGGGCAGTAGATATAGTTTTATAGTTTTATAGTTTTCCTATTGCAACTTATATAATGTCACTTTATTGAACTACAGCTTTATATATTTTAATGAACTTTTTCCCCCAAACAGCACATTCAAATCAATATATAAAGTTTTAAATCCTTGTCGGATCGCTTACATGTTTCGCCGTTAAAAATATATTGCTCTAGCATTGCTACTTATATTGTAAATACAATAATGAAATTTTTCAAAACCGTTTTCGTTTTCATATCTTTTACTATTGATTCATACAAAGATTCACAAACTTTTTGGTACCTGTAGGAGAAATAATTATAATAATTTATTTTTATTATTGTTATGCCTGTAAAATACACATATTAATATTAATATACACGGTCGTTTTTATTGATTATAATCATCTAGTGCATTAATATATTTGAATAATCTTTAGTCTTCTTGCTGTTGTAGAAAGGGACGAATAGCCTCCAAATCGTTTGCAGCGTCGCTGCTTTTACAATCGGATGATTCAATATCTCGTATATTCTTCAAGATGACCTGCTCCTATTAACAAAGACGTTAATAGTAATTTGTTTTAATTTAATATTTCTGTCACGAACAATCCCTTATCCATAATAAGACAAAAGCATCCCTTCTCAGTTTTGGGGTACTTTGACGGGGTTAATACGATGCGGGATTTATGCACAACAAATACGTCAATTTTCCCTTACAGTCAACTCTCTCTAAATGCATGCCTTCGGGACTGAAAATTTGAGAAAGGAGTTTGTATTAGTAAATCACGTGATATCAGTAAAGCTTTTTACTCTCTAATATACCTTTCAAGAATATTTGACATGTTCACTTGTTTTTTTGTAGATCCATTAACTCTGACTTCCCATTGTTTTCCACCCAGTTAACATATTCTTCTCATTATCGCGGACATATATAGACAAACCATGTTTTTGAGCATCTGATAAGACAACCTTATTTTTGGAGACATGGTAATACAATTATCAAGCTTACAGTTAGTTAACAAATTGTTGCGATGATGACTATGCGAAGGTATCCTTCTTAAATAGTTATTACGATAGTTAATTGATTATATTTAGTGTCTCAGTTAAATATATTACAACTAAAGCTATTGCATAAAAGCATCACGCCATGTTTGGCGAATTAACAGATCGAGTCACGTGCGTAAATTTACGGAGATCACTTTCATATTATTATTATTATAATAACGATAATAACCTTGGTGAATGTGCAGAATAAGGAGAGAGTTAACTGTATTTTGTTCGTAACTAATGCGTAGATGATCTGCAAACAGACTATCAGTCACATTTTAGCTAATTAATATCGTTGTGTTCATGAATAATAAGTCGCCTAAGAGGTCAGTTACTGATCTGGTAGGGGAAGTACTATGAGAGCACCCTGTGTTCCCAAATTTGGAAAGGGAGAAAACTCGGAACAGAAACAGGAAATGAAAAAGACCTCTGCTTGTGTTACTGGACATACAATTTGCTGCTCTCTAAGCTACCTAATAAGAGACAGAACATCTCATTCTCTGCAATCTCAATGCATCCCAACATTCCTTCGGCTTTCTTGTCAAGGCAGCAATCGCGGGAGAGCAATCGATTGTTAACTTTTGGGATTTAACTATCTTTCGAACGGAGCTGTGGCTTCTCCTATTTTAGTAAAATATAACAACAGTTAGTGATATCCCAAACTAGGTTTTACTACCCACGACCTAGTATCGATCGGTGCTGCAAAGTGGACCGAGAAACTTAAATTAAAAGGGCTGACATTAAAATTTGTTTTCTCTATTATTTCTCAATCAAATGTTATGAAATTTAAAATATATATTCCAAAGCATTTTAAATATATTTTATTAGTGAAGCATTTGACCTTGGCATATGAGTTTTTGTATTTATAACGACCAGACAAGTCGTTAGGCTGGATTTGTCGCTTTGATAGATCAACAAATTACAGACGCATATGTAAACATTGTTGCAAACAAGTTACTTAGTACGCAAAAGGCGTATAAATCGTAAAAATTTGTGTTACTTACTCACCACTTGGAGGGTACTATTATTGTAAGCGGATAACAACCG